CTTGTTGGTTTAAATATTGTGTTAATATTATGCTTTTTCAATATTTTTCCGATCCTGTCTGTCACTCGAGGAATAAAAGGTAGTTAATTGTTCACCCGGGTCTTGTCGTGAGGCAGTTCTGGGCCTCATAGCCTTATCGATATCAGATATCCTGTATCCATTTGATTGGAAGGCTTCTTTGAGGTGATCTAGTTCTGCTTCCAGGTGTTGTGGATCACAGATCCTCCGGGCACGTTCTGTTAAGGTTGTAATGATTCCTGATGATGATGATGATGATGATTATGAAACGTCAGGAAGAAATTCCACTCAACGACGGCCATTAAGCCCCAAGAAAAACACTTAGAGTTCAAATGTTAATCTATTAATTTTTTCAAAAATTTCAAATGATCCTGAGATATATCAGTAGATCTTGCGCCCCTAAATTATAAATATCACTCAATTCTGAATATTAATTTAAAATGTGTGTCTGGTAGACTCAGTACCTTGTCTAAAGTTAACCCCAAGGTCTTAACTGATTTTTAGTAATCAAAATTGTTAGTTTTGGTCTTTTGAAAAAATGGTTTAAAAATCATGATTTTTAAAATATTTTTTTTCAATAATTTAGTACATTTGGTTTAATTATTGTGCAGCTAGAAGAATATTTTCTCTCTTGTCTCTGTGCTTTCCTAACAGCATGCAAACTTTCAAAAAAATTTTTCTTTCAATTTTCAGATAAAATTAAATAGCAATAAATGGAAATTGCAAATCAATTTCGTATTAATAAAACCATTTGTGTAGAACAGTAAAAATAAACATTTAGGTGTAAGCTCCTTAGTGCTACCTAAGTTATTAGAACCAAGATTTTCTGCCATGCTCACATTTGAGTAGATATGAGTAAATCATGTAACTTGGTAAAAATTTTCTTTTTCTACTTCTAAAGCCCGGTTAGTTAAAAAATAGCCTTTTAGACTATTTCAGCTGTGTTTCGAACAGATCAACTCAGCCTTTAATATTTTCCCCTGCAATTGTTCAGAAGCAAAGTTCATGCTAATAATTTATTTGCATCGCATTTTTTTTGGAGTTAATAATTTGGGTGAAAACTACAGAAATAGAACCAGGTCTAGTAGCAACACTGCAATTCAGATTGTTTTCATAATATTTCTTGCTTGATTATTTATCATTCTTCTTGGTCTGATGGCCATATAACAGCCATTGATTGGTATGTTAAGTTATGATTACAGTGTTATATTTTGAACAGTTTGAATAACAAGTGCGAAAAGAGTAAACATCAACTTGTGTGTCAACATATTTTATATGTTTTGTTAAAGCCGTGCCCGTATATTGAAAACTGGGAAAATAAATAAAAGTCACATACTTTCTACCTTTTTAGCTATTGCAGGATACACAAACTGTCGAATTAAAATTACATGTTTCCTCCATGATACTATTGTTATGTATTTCCATCATTCATTTTCCTTATAAAACTCGCAAATATTAACATGTAATTAAAATATTTTTGAAGTTAATATGTTGAAAAAGTGTATAAAAGACATATTATTCGTTACACACATGCAGCCGTGGCGCGGGAATTATTTTTAATTGATGTTCTGCCGTAGAAAATAGCAGTCGGGGGAACGCGAAGAAAACGAACAACGAGCAATGATTTATGAGGATCCCTTTTGTTTCATTTATTTGCCCCTCAAAATCCGTTTTGATTACCGCTTAAAAAAACATAATTTATTGCCTGTAAACAACAATTTTTTGATCGATGTTTCAGCTCGAAACCGCTATCGACAGAGGTTTCACAGCGCGGCGGATTATTTTGGGAAAATGATTTCTTAAAACCATCGTTAATTTTGTCTGGCAGAGTATACATCAACAATAGAAGATAGATGCACATATTTGGTAAACAAAATTTGTAATGGGGAAACGAATGCGAACAAAAAAGTACAATGATGGTGGACATGAACAATATTATACAATATTAAAACAAATAAATAAATATTAAATTTCACTACATTATCACAAAATGATAATACTATTGTTCTGAATAATAAAAAAAAAATTTAAAGCTTCAGTTTTAGCAAAGAAATCAAATGTGAATCGGTTGAAATTCTCGTTGATCATGTCATCAGCTCTTACTATATATTAATTATTAGAATTAAGTAATCGGCGTCAGAAAAGATTTTATTTATGAATTACAATACAATTACGACCATCACTATTACAAGCACTTATGTTTATATCTGCTTATAGATCTGCACTATCGACCTCAACACATTATTAGTCTTTATTAAGTTGCCTCTAAAATATGATGTTGAAAGATTTTCGTATTTTTCTTAATTTAAACTGATTTTAAGCACTTGCCTAAATATATTTTTCTACTCCTGACTGACGTGGTAAAGTGGCGCTTCCCGCACGCTAGATCGGTGGGTTATTAGGTATTTTACAGACGGGAGTAGAAAAATATATTTATATAGTCCTGTTGCAGTCATCTTTGCTTTACCTTAGCAATTCATTCTCTTAGCAAACAGTCTGAAAAATCTCTTGACTTACCTGCTACCGTTATGCATGTAATACAAACCGAATAAGTGATGGATTTTAACAATGCGGATGCTCGTCACTGAAATAAAAAATAGAAATAGAAAAATAAATATCATCTCATATTAATAGCCCGATTAATTAATTAGCCTATCTTGCTTTATTATTATCTAATAAAATGAGTTGAGAATAATTTAGAAAAAGAATAATTTTTAACATTGCCTTTAACCTCCTAGTTAATTAAACAGAAACAGAGTGTTAATACAGCTCGCAAGTTTCTCGATTTATATAAAAAACAGTTTTTTATGCCATCATCTAAAAATATCTGAAATTTGATATATTTTTGATTCCCGAAACAAAGCAATTTTACATCATACTTTTCTTTAACAATTATTCTTGTTTCGCGTAAAGATTCAAAAACTTGATTCTTTGACTTTTTATTTTAAACGTAATTTTAATTTTCTGGTGATGATCGTCAAATTTAAACTTTGAGTTGTCAGATTTATGCGACAAAACCGCGAAAGTCCGCATATAGGTATTGCAACGTTTTAGTGCAAGAAAAAAATTGGGCATATACAAATGTACTTCAATTTGAAAAATGCTATTATTTAATGTTATATAAAATGATGTAGTTAAATAAATAACAACACGCTACAGACGAATAAAACAATCCTCAAAATTAAATCATAAAATTGACTTTATTGTGATGCCCATATAATTGAAGGTAAAACAAGGAACGATCGAGATGAAGGATGCTGCTTATTTACGAACGGTTGTTATGGCAACCGGTGGGAGGCAATAATTTCGGAATGGGGCCAATGCTCAGAAAGAATCATTGGCATACGAATAATATACATACATATTATAACATAACATATACATATTGGGACAGTTGATAATAAATAATTTGGAATGCTAAAGTAATTTGCTCTTATTGTGAATTGATCACTTTTAAATTGAAATTTAATTGCTGTTATTTTTGCTGTTCCTGTTGTCATTTCTACTGATTTTTTTGCGAAGGACAAAGCACCAAGGAAAATGTTGGATTTCATCACATCATTATGATTTGAAGGTTTCAATAAGATACAATTATAGGATCGTTAGTTTAATATCTATTAAGGTAAATAGTGCCTACTGTTTTTTTGAAAGTAAATTGAGAAACTTGCATATTGTTTTCCAAAAATTAACTAACTGAAACTACTTTCTAAAAAATGTAAATAACCTTAATCTCATAAAAGTGAGGAAAATAGTCACATCAAAACCCACAATTTTATTTTGAATTCAGTGCCTGACCTAAAGAAGTTTTAATCTCTATGCGTCAAAGAAAGTCTTTTATCAAGACAATAATGTAATATAATACATAGAAAAAATAAAAACTAAAATGTTCTTTATAGTGATCTTTAAATGAATTTAGTTTGAAGTATTATCATCATTATTATTTTGCTTGCTTAAAACGTGTAGTTTTTAGCTGCGCCTGAAGTGATGTTGATACTACGAAACAGTCTGCTACTTTACTTGAGGGAATATGAGGGAATATTTTTAAATAGATTGCCTTGATTGATTGAATGTATTTAATAACACCTTATAAATGAATTTAATGATCAGTCTTTCATGATTTAGTCGAACCACACTTTCCATCTGCCTTCGTAATTGTACCTAATTGTATTGCTATATTTAACAGAAATTTAGGGAATGTTTTGGTATCTCAAGCAAGAATTATAGCAGCTCAAATATTTCCTTTAATTAGTTCGGAAGTTAAGTGAGCTGATGCGGTCTAATTATTTCAAATGATTAAAATATAGTTATTCCATCCAAGTCTCTTGCAGGTTCCGAAGTCGGTTAATTCAATTCTATATTAGCTATATTAATTTATCTGCTTTAATTCGATAATGGTCATTCCACGTAATAATATATATTAAAAATATTGGGTTCGCCCACCTATATTAACTTTTGAACAAGAAATAATATTAACGTGCCCAAAAAGTTCGTATACCAACTTATGCTGTAATTGAAAGGTATACGTTTCTGATTTTGTTTTTCCAAATTAATTACATTGATCTCCGAACCGGCTAACCAATCAATAAAGGCCATTGTGTAAATGATACCATATATGGGAATAAATAATCAACATCACTGGGTCAGACTGTAACAGATGATCGCAAGCTTCAAATAAATTATATAAATACAGTCAAATTTAATTTAATGTCAGATTATGAAATGATTCCGCATAGCAAAAATTTGCAAAATACCAAATGTTAGAAAAATGCCCACTCAAGTACACTTGAAATATGACTAGAATTTTTCATTTAAAATTAGCAAATTTCCATCTACTTCTATTCTTGTGAAAATTAGTATATATAAGAAGTAGTACATTGTATTGTTATTGTTACGATTCAGGAGTATTGTATTGCCTAATACTTTTCCTCGTAGTGAATAATGTTTTATTTTCAATTAACTTATATTTTCACTACTTGTTACAGGTATGAAGCCGCGCATGAAAAACCACTTTCGTGCACACCAACTCAGCGTTTGGTTGCGTCTTATTCCTGAACTTCATCGTGCCGGCATGGAAGACGTGGTAGCTAGACACAATCTCTTCAGAAATCACAACAACGCTGATCTCTATGACGGTCCAGTACGGCCGGACCCATTATCGAGAGTTAGTTACTACGATCCGACCATGGAACTCGTTAGAAAACGTCCAAATTCTACGATAAACACTCTAGAAACACCCACAACTATGGACACGATTGTTACCACTTGTGTTAATGTAGTTTCCTCCGGTAACTACAATCCCCAAATTTTCCAAAATCAAAACAACCAAACCGACACGCTCGCTTCATTGGAGGCTGCCGGATACGCGGCCTACAGCACTGCCTTGAGCGTTACTATAGCTATAGGGTGTTCTTTGTTGATCCTAAACGTGTTAATTTTCGCCGGAGTATATTACCAGCGCGACAAGACCAGGATGGAAGTGAAAAATTTGCAGCAACAGCAAAACAGAAATCAAGCCACTTTCGAGACCATTTCCAAGCATCAACATTATCATATCGGGCATTCGCAGAGTTCAAACGTTATAGTGGACGTTGAACAAGACACTTCGGCAATGATTTTAGCGGCCAATGCACACCAAGACCTCCATGCCATGAACAAAGTCCAGCAGCATTTGTGTCCTAGTAATATTTCCAATACTTTAAAGGCGCCTCCCCCAAGTCCCAACGTTATGCAAAATTGCATGACGTTGCCCAAAAATTCATCGATGCAAAATTACTACAGTCAGGGTTGCATGACGCTTCCAAAAAACGCATCGCTAATGAACAACACAGCCTGTGTGATTGCAGAAATGAAACAGCAGATGACGCAGCCTCCAAATGGAAATGCGGTATTGCCCTTGGCTGTCCCGAAACCTCCGCCCCCTCCCCGCACCAAGAGTCCAGAAAGTCAGCCGTTGCTGATTCCGGCGCAAAATAGTGGCGCCAAAGGTAATATAAGACTGCCCCAAGCAGCAATGAGTGAGATGCGCGTGTGATAGTGTTGTTGCACAGTGACGGATTTGGAATGTTGCACCGTTGTACGCGAAACACGGTAACGTGTCAGTGGTTCGTCGAATATACCACTGAAAATTATCATTTTAAAGTAATTTTTTGATTCCATGTAAGTGTATATAGCAAATCTCCGACTTCAACTTCTATTTTATATAACTAAATTAATTTGGGATTATACGATTTATTGCTGTTGAAACTCGATACATTCTTTTGGGATTTTTTGCCCGTATTGCGGCAAAATGTAAATTTAAGTTTTAAACAGCTATGCCGAAACCACCAAATATTTTGAGCGAACATCGTAACCACATATCGGCTATTTTACTTAAGAAAGTGATGGAGGTATATTCTTAATAAAACAAATCATACAATATATGCAGGGTATTTCAGAATAGGCTGCTGGCCCTAAAGCGAGCGATCGAAGCAGAGAAGTTCAAATAAACCTACTTAACCAACTTTTACTACTACTACGACTACTGAAACAACTTCTAACATATTTTTATAGTATTTATTATAACACAAATTTCATATTTAAATCCTTATATCACAGATCACAGACTCTGTGAGAAATTTCCAATAAGGAAAAAATACGAGTTTTTTTTTAGACACTTTAACATTAAAAATTTTAAAGCGGAAATTGACTATTGACGTTAAGACGGCGAGTGCTAAATTTATAGAAAATATTTAGAAATTTATTAAAGTTTTGCTAAAATAGTGTCATTGTTAAAAATTTAAGGCCCTAAAATTCAAGAGTTTAAGTTTAAATAGACCTAATTGAACTGTTCAATATTATCAATAGGATCAATATTATCTTCTTATCCTGAAACACCCTGTATAATTAGATAACCGATAAATTTGGTTGAATTTTCGTGGAAATTATTTTTCTGTTATACCAGCGAAAAATTTACTTTCTATTTTTCAAGTTGGTTTTTCCAGTTTAAGTTTTAACACAAATTTCCCATTTTTTCCCATTTTATCAAAAGGTCTTTATCCGAATTTTTAGCAAAAGTCTCCAAACCAAAATTTTTACTGTTTCGATTACTACTCTACCAAAAATCAGTAGGTCTAGAGAGAAAATCGTTTGATATGCTTCTGTCCTATTTTACAGTTCCAACAACCCGATTCTGATTCCAGTTTATTCGTTTCTCTGTTTTAGCAACTTTGCAGATTTTTAGCATTTTAATTAAGTGGGTTTACAAAAATTAACTTTTCCGTATTTTTACGTGTTCTTTTTTGTTATTTTGCATGTCACAATTTATTGGCAAAATTTAACTATGGTGTTCACCGGTCCAAATTAGAATGAATTTTTGATACATTTTTATTCGTTATCATCAAAGCAAACAGCCAAGTTAGTGTTTATAAATTTAATTTGTAGGAATAATTAGAAACAGGAGCACCTCATCTGAAGTTTCTCTATCGGCCAGCGTACACATGCAATGATTAGAAAGGAAATTGACTTTTAAACAGTGACGATCTTCTCTTAAAAATGTATTCGACTAAAAATGCAGTATTTAATAAATTATTCTCTTAAATCTTTACTAGAGATATTCAACCATGAAACAAAGTCCAGTCCTTGTTTCGGAAGCGATGCAAAATTATCATCAGAACCATTCCTTCTAATTTTTGTATCAAATGTTTTAAATTTGTAATAATAATAATACAGTTGTTTTTAAATGCATTGTTGAGTCCTGTTATCGTAATTAATAAATTTTATGAGGACAAAAAGTGGTTGAATTGTTGCTTTACCTTCATTTCAAATATACCCTAATCGGCTTTTCAACAAATGTTTGTTTTGGTGTAATAAAAAATCATTTCTTCCGAAAGAATCCTTTTTATAGATAAATCTATCGAAATTTGGGTTATTAATATAATACTAATAATAAAAAATGTTTTTGCTATTCGGCGTCTCAGCTAAAGAACTGAAATTCAGTTGAACCGGAAATGAACATGTTTCAACAGCGGTTAACCTATATTGAGTCTTCCAAAATTCAAATATCTCTCCTTATGTCACTTCCAACCTATTGGTGTAATGATCCGCAATAACCAAAACGGCCCATATCGTGGTATTTTTGAAGTGGAGGTATCGATTAAAATAATTTGTTTTTAACCGCAATTAGTGTTTATGTTTTGTTATATGCATTTTTGTTCTTAAATGAATTCCTGAATGGATTCTATCCCGCGGAGTATTTTGTATTATTTTGCCGTAATATTTTCAACATAAACTACATCCCATAATTTTTGCGTATTAGATCTAGGAAGGAAAAGCCCGTTCTTACTTGCCTTTCTACTAACCTTCTGATTCTACATTGACTGGAACTCCTGAATCTAGCGGTGCTACCCCCCTATGTAATTATCTCACATAATTCGGTTACTGTAATTCGTTTTGTTTCCCTCTTTATTCCGCTAAAATCGGAATTGTATAGAAACTTTTATACTGCTTTAAGTGAACACGTAACGGTGTGCCAAAAACTTTGACGCGGTTCAGCATTTGTTTCAGGCACGTGGACAATCTTGTGTATAAAGCGAATGCAAAATGTGTGCTATTTCAAATTTCAACGAAAAATGAATAAGAATTTATTAATAGTAAAACTATATCTATGTAATTTAAAGCAGCGATTATTAGAAAATTGTACATAACACAAAGTTTTTTCGGTGAATTTTGGTACACGTTTTGTGTGTCTGACATGCAGGGCGATGTCACGAAATTCTGTATGAGTTTTGTATATCGAACAGTGTATTATAAATTAATATTCAAAATAATGTGACACATTAAATTATTAATAAAAAATCATCATGTACTGAGCAGTTTCCTTACCTTGCATTTAGAAATTATTCAGTTTTATAAAAAAATTAACACAATTTTAAAATATATAAAGTAAATATTTTTCAAAAAAAGGCATTGGGATTAAGAAAATATTTCTGTGTGAACAGCATGGCAGGTAGCAGCGTGGGCGTCATTCATTTCGGAACAACTGAGTCAAAGAACGTTTAAACATCCAACCTTATAAGGTGATCTTCCAGATCGCCCGGCATTTCAGTTCTAGAATTTTTTTGCCGTATTACATGAAAAATAAAGTTTGTAGTAAGTGTTATACGAACTCTCAAGAATTGCATTGCGTTCCGCAACTGGCAAAAGGGCCCAATAATAATTTTAAATTCATTAAAACGCATAATCAAAATATTCCAAATTTGTTTTAGGGAAAATGGTAACCGTTTTGGTTAATTTTTGTGGTTATGTTAATATACGAGGCATAACGGTATCCTATAAAAAATGTATTTCATTGTCGGACACATTTTATTGATGTTGTATTTAAAAAATATATAGAGTATTACATATTTTTGAAAAGCGTACAAAATCGGTATCTTAACCAGTTTAAAATTTAACACTGCGCCGATAAAAAAACATTATTGTATCTTAGAATCCAGGAGGGCTATAAAAATGTTGATGCTGATTCTCTAAGGTTCACAAAAAGGTAGTCTAGTGTTGTGAAAACCACGTTCAGAAATAAGCGAAGCACAGTGCTTTGTAATAGTGTAAATATTTAGTGACTTTATTGTTTTAGACGAAATCACTTGTCGAATTTCACAGTCGCCTTTGAAATTGTCAATTTATGAATATAACAAGTTGGTGTCAGGTGTGGGGTTGCATGACGTCAAGCATTTTTTAAAAGAATTTACACCCGCAGTCTGAGGAAATAATTAAACGATCGGTAGATGGCGCAGTATAATCATCCAAATATTCCCTGTGTGCGAGCCGGAGGGGATGACCCATATGCTCAAAACCTTGTAAACTTCTAAAAAAAATTAAAGTCAAAATCCTTGTTTGGAATGCATCCCCACACCTGACAATTTTTTAAATTGACAGAAACTGTTCGGGTTTGTCAAACGCGACTTACAAAGGCGTGTGAAATTAAACAAACCACTCCGCGCAAAACTTATCAACACTTAAACTTTGTTTCTTCGATAATAACAAAAACGCTAACTATTTACACACTGTTATTCCACTATAAACATTACCGATGATTTATATAATGCTTCCCGATTATCTACATTTATCGGTTCTGGCTCCTTTTTCCCACTGTTCTTGAAACACCGGACCAGGGCTCAGTCCAAAAAACTGTCGACAAATTAGAACCAACAACTGTGAAATATTATCATAGACTGTGCTCGCTATTTGTGAAATTAGGCTGCCTGTCGCACTAAGGGGTATGTGCATGAAGTCGGCAAAAAAAGTAACTAATGATGACTAAGAACAAAAATTATTTTGCATATTTAATATAACTACAAAGCAATTGATACATTTTGTTTCACTGGAGCTAAATTATACTAAAAAAATTTGGAGTTTATTTTTTGGTTGTATTTATTTCGTTTATTCCACTTATTTTTGTGTAAAGCAATGCTGCAAAAGGAAACTCCATCTTCAAATTGCTAAATGGCTTTTGTCATTTTTTTAGCGACTTTTAGCACCACCTGGCTACGATGCCGATTCCTTTAAAGTATCTTTCAATCATTTCCGAGCGTCTTGAAGCGTTTTATCGGAGGTCATTCCGACGCGACTTCAAAAACATGTTTTCTTTTAAAGCTTTTCTATTTTTGCTGGAAAACGTCGAATCGGGCTTTGACTATTCCGGAGAGAGCCCTGGCGTGATTTTATTTAACGGCGGATCGAACGTTTTCCGGCCATTTTTACGCACCAGAAGACGTTTTGGTGGAACGATCTGGAACATGTTTAATGCCACAGGAGCGCAATTCCGACAAGCTTTTAGATGCTAAGCAAGTGTAACTTGCCTGGATCCAATCGGTCTATTTCCATACATATTGGTTCTTGATGTTGCCTGAAATTCGTAGAAGGAATGCGGAAATAAAATAAAAGGCGCGCTGCACAAGCGGCAATTTGCACTGAAATATTTTGTTGAAACTGTAAGCGATGCTTTGATACGTTTCAGGAAGTGTAATCACTAATCGATTTACTTGTAAACAGGTTGATTAATTACACAGAACCCGAAAGTTAGGGAAGGAATATATATATTTCTCTCAACAGACGCAATGAATGTACAAATTACATGTACAATACCATGAAGCTGTTCACTGAAGGCGCCAGCACTGGTGCGCTTTACTAGTAACTGCCACGATTTCCACGCTTAGGTTGCTAAAGAAATTGTTATTATTTGCTATGAAGACAGTCTAGTCATTTCAGAGTATATTTATTTAATGCAGTGCAGATACAATGCAAATTAATACAAAGGAAAAATCAATATTGCCCAAAGCCTATCATATGTACTCAACGACTGCTGAATATAATATTCTCATCTAATTTTTCCTTCTTCAACGGCAGGCTAATATTCCATTTCACCCGTCCTAACTTATTTTGGGTTTTCTGCAATTTATAATGCTAAACTATCTCTCTTGGACTGCTGGTACAGTCCTCGCTGTTTGGTCAAATGTGAGAAACTTCATTTTATCGATATGACACGAGGCTGTAGTGGTATTATTTATGACACTGAAATTTCAACCTATTTAAACTGAAAGAACTTAATTGATGGACCCGTTAAAGAGCTTTAGTAATAATGGCGATGGTAATAGTGGTGCAACTAAGAGAACAAAAAAACTACATAATAATATATAAAAATATTAATAACTTATTGATGGTGACATTACCTAGAAAAGTTAAAATGTTATGGCTAAAATAAATGAAAATGTTTCTGAACAAAATTTGGATGTAACAAAATATTTTATAATTTTTATATCTTTCTGAATATTTGTTCGTATATTTTCTTACCATATTTGCCAATTTGGTATTTGACTCTATCATAGATTTTGAAGCTTTATTAAAGCCGCCATGAAGCATTTGTTTATAGCAGCAAAGTCTGATTTCATCTTGGAAAATATGTCTAAGATTTTGATGTCGAATTTCGACAGTTTTGTGTAACAATCGTTTAGAAATTAAATAATTAACGCCGGAATAATTAAAAGTCACTCTTTATTTGCCATATTGAAATAAATACTGAGGGTAATTACAAATACTGTATTACATGTTGTCGGTACAAATAAAACATAAATAATAATAAATATGTACAATAAATAAAGATATTTCTATTTTGTATATTTTTTTATTTCAGTCTTATGCTAGGTCAATTTTGTGTTAAAAAATATTTCATTACATACAGCAGACGCCATGATTATAACCAAAACTTCTTAAAGCTAGTACAGTGATCCTCTAATGACAACAGTATGCTCGAAAAATATTATAAAAATAAAAATGTAAAAAAGTGTTTCAGTTAATTAGACCTCTGATAGTGAAACATCCGTATCTCATATTACAGTTATCATAGTAGTCTAGTGAATTTTAATCAGTGAGAGTCGTTATTGCAAGATTATTTGCCGGCTGGGTAGACAAGAAGCTCCATAATAAGTTGGGTCGTTGAAATTAAACTAGGTTAATTAATAGAAAATAAAGTAACACCCAATTATTTGTATCATGTAAGCAGTGTCCCGGTTGTCAACAGTGTTAACATATACCGCCAGCCTTCCCGAGCTAAATATCTTGTACTATATTAGAAACAAAAGTAGACCATAAAGTTCGATTTGTTAACTCAAGACTTCTTGACTACTGTTCCGGTATCAGAATCATCAGAAGGAGATGTAGACTCTGAACTTGACTCTTTATTTAAACTAGGATTGGATGTTTTTATTAATGTCGGAATCTGCGACTTTTTCATTTTCATGGCTCTGGCTTCAATTACAGACTCCTTTGAATTATAGTTTTCCCGGATGTCTCTGCTCGACACTTCGGGTTTCGAAGTCGCCACAATTTCGGGTCTGTTGTCGGGTACCATAACGCGAGGTATATTTTTAGGTTTGTCATCGCTTTTGCTTCTGTTGATCGTAGCTTTGACAACTACTTTTGGATCAATTTGTTTTACAGGTTGATTAGAATTGGCAGTTACAATGGCTCTGGGTATGCCTTTATATTCTTTACCTATCGAGTTCTTATTATTTTCTTCCAATTTTTGCAGATTTTTTTCCTGACTACCGTCACATTTATTTTTGGGGATCAGAGGACCCACGTACAAGTTGTTGCAGGTTATTTCTGGTTCCGGAGACGGTGATGGTTCTTCGACCAACGTAGGTTCTGATAAACACACCGGTTGTGGATTACTTCCTTGTCTACCTAACGTTGATGTTCTGGGAGGAGGAACCGGAGGAAATCGCATAAAATTTCTACTTGTTGGTGAATACGGTTCCGAACTAGAATACTGCGAGTTTTCGGCGATCGGATAAAACGCATTTTGAACGGGCATCGATCTCCTCTTGCTCAAAAAGGCCTCTCTTCCCGGATGATCGGGCAAAACTTTAGGAAAATTCCTCCTTTTTATCGTAAGCAACGCTTCTTCGGGGGTGAGCGCGGGTGGAGCGTGACAATTTTCATCCCTGGAGGTCACGTTGATATCGTAATTCGGATCAAAAGTCCTTAGCCTTCGCATACTGCTATAGTCAACATCCTGAACCGGATCAGATTTTGAATGACCGTGTTCAATCCTGATTACTTTCGGCTCCGTGTCCACGTTGCCTAAATTAACGTTGGTGATACTTTTCCGCAACTCATTTGCCACGTTGTCAAGTTTCCTTGGAGAAAAATCTTCCATCGTAATTGACCGCCTTAGAGGAGTCGGGGACACTTTTGGATAATCCAGTGACTTGGTAAGTTCTATCGGTTGCTGCATCAAGACGCTTGAACCTCTGCCCGTCGGTGTAGCATCGATCGCCACGGAAACTTTTCCCGGTCTTCTACGGTGCTTCGAGCTGTCTATACTGGCTGTTTTTATCAGCAACGGCCTTGCAACATTTACATCAGCAACGGGACTTACGGGTCTAGTGGGACTTTTACCCAAAGTCGAACTTTCTTCCACTTCGATCGGAAATTCGATCGGTAGAGGTTCGGGCTTGTTGTTCCTCTTCTTATTCGCTTTTCTATCACGTTTTGGGCTATATTTGTATACAATTTCGCTAGTTATCCAATCGCGAACTTTTGTGTGGGCGTCAATGGTGCTGTCCGACATATGACGTGCCAGTTTGTTATTAGCGTTATCTGCACTCAATGTATTGTACGCGTCGTCGACTTTCGATTTGGAAAACATTTTCACGATATTGCAGTCGGCGAACAACATGGCGTCTTCTGACTTTTCGAGTTTGCCGTCCACGCAATCTTCGACAGGGGAAATACTGATCGGTTCTGTAGACGATTTCTTATTTTTTATGCAACGGTAGTATAAGAAAACGAAAAATATCACATTGGCTAGTAGAAAGAGGCCCCCAACTATCAACAGGATGCTGAGACTTGAAGAACTATGCGTGATATCTGTAACGCTTTCGGCTGGTGAGTTTCGTATAATTCCGTAAACTTCAGTCTCCGGATTAGCTCGGTCTCTATTACCGGAAGTTCTTACTATGCCGGCAGAATCCGACGAAGGAAATGGCTTGTGAAAATTTTCAAATTTCGATAGATTGTGTCGCACCCATGGTAGAGGATTTTCAGACGTATAAGACTTGAAGGGATTCTTCAACGACGCGGTAATATCCGGAAACTCGCGATTCCAGAATTCTACCTGGTCTCTACGGTAAAATTTATTCTTGGAAATGGGATTGCCTAAAAATTATTTCGATGGATTAATTGGATCCGGTTGGGTATTTGTCGTACCTAGATGGAGGTAGAACTGGTTTTCCGCATCGAATTCTGGCCACTCGACATCGAACTGCGACCACACATCGTACTCGGACGACGGATATATTTCCTTGGGCATGTTTGGATTGCTGAAATCAAAAGCAGATTACGATTTAAAATAAATAAAAGAAAGTACTCGAACAGTCAAAATGTTGATTTTATTATATTTTCATTGAAATGAAAAAGATAGACTTAAATATACCAAATTAAGTGTAAAAAATAGAAAGCCACGAGGACCAGACGAAATACAGATAGAGCTCTTAAAAACGTTGGAGGAAGATAGTGCTTACACACTTCTTCCAAAAGATTTATTAATTATTAATTATAAATAGTTTGACAGAACAATATAGGCCTGGACGATCGGGATATTCAGATAAAAGCCAACTTGTACTGAACTGACATAAGACGTCCGAAGAACTACGTATTATGAGAGGAGTTCAACAAGAATGTGTGCTCTCCTCTTTTGTTTAATTTATAGGCAGAAAAAAAGGGAAACTGTCAAAGAAAGAACAGAGGGTTGGAGGACTGCTAATGGAATCGTCTTGAACAATTCAAGATAAGACACGATCTTACTAGCAACAGACAAGGATGATTTACAACTACGTTTATCAGCGGTAACCAATCATAGCCAACAAACGGGTCTACGCTTAAATATAAAGCAAACCAAATGGATAGGCATTAGAAAAAACCAAAACATAACATTTGGGTATTTGGGGTACTGGGTGAATGAAAACTGAAACTCAACTCAAGAAATCAAAGACAGAATAAAGCAAGCAAGAACATCTTTTGAGAACATGCAAAATGTGTTAACCAACAGAGCCTTAAGAATTCCCTCAAGAATACGCTTATTAAGTTGTTATGTTTTTAGCATATTATTCCACGGTATGCAAGCATGGGCCCTCACTGAAACAATTTGTAAGATGATTGTGGTGGAGGACAGAGTGACGAATCAAGCGGTTCTGCAACAAATTAACAAAAAAAGGGAGGTACTTAATACTAAAAAAGATTATTTTGCCACGTAAAGAGAAATAATTGCTCCATATAATCATGCTAGCAAAAACGCGGCCCTGGTCCCGAATAACGTCTTGGATCAAAAATCTTCGTCAGTGGTATGGAGTAACTACCACCACCACATTAATCTGCTGCGGACAAAGTGAAGATCATGAGACTGATCGCCAATGTTCTGGGAGAACACGGAACTTGAAGAAGAAGAAGGAATTTAATTGAAGTTCCTTCTCGTTAAAGCAAAGTAATACTTTAAATATTACATTTGCGACATGTCTCTTGAAACATTAAATCTATAAAGCTAAAAATAACGAGAGGAATGACTGACAATTAGAACAATAGTTATTTTACCTCCATAAATAATGTCATATACTGCTCTGAGACGTTCAAAATTAACTAACGCATTAAGACAAACTCACACGACTTTTATCCCAAAATTTCAACAGAAATTCTTTTTGCAGGAAAACCGTTGCAGTCATAAGAATATCGAAGTAAAAAGCCAAAAATCAACAGCGTCTCTTTCGATAAGGAATTGATGTGTTTTGGGCTTGGGTTATAAAAATTCAATTTCTTATGTGGTCGACATTTCGTCAATTTTATTGCCTTTTGCAGGACCAATGAAGACGATTTTGCTTATAAATATACGTAGTAAAATTGTGGACCATTAGTTATACCATTAATTAAAATCATTTCTAATTTAATAAACACTGAAGGTGTCCCAAGTTTCGGGAAACAAATCGTCTTATTGTTGCATATGCTCAAATTACTGCAGAATGAATTTGCAATTTTAAAAAAATAGTCAAAATCAAACGAGCGGGTTACGAGGAAGCCATATTTAAAAATGAATCCAGTTTTCAAGGGCGTTTTTTTTGCTTGAGTGCATTTCCAATTTTTCTAAATACCTTAACTTTTGGACACACGTAAAGAATTTGTTGCCTAATGAAATTCCGTTTTTTCACTGCAAAAAATGAAAACGGCACCAATGTACAAGTACCTATGATGATCCAAAATCTTCCTGATGTACACGGTAAGGTCGGAGCCAATCTTACTTATTTGATATATTCGATTGTCACGATAAAATTGCGACATTAAAAAAATCAAAGTACTCACCCAGTGTAAGCAAAATTGCAAAAGTAACGCATTATCCTCTGGGAAAACATTTTCTCGTATTGCGTATAAGGTACGTCCTCGAAATGAAACTTCGAACCTTCCAGTGGGACGCCGAACACATAAGACAGATCTTCGCCATTGTATGTTTTGTTTATCTGGGATCAAAAATATCCAGTTAGTTAAAAATAGCATTTCGTATTTATAAATCGTATGCCACGTTTACTATTTCGATATGCGGGTCACGGAAGTGAGTAAGAAATGTATTCCGTGTCATACCGGATGTCGTTAATATTGAAAAGTTGGGTACAATCAAATATCTCGGTCTTCAACTTATTCACATAAAGGAAACCTTGGATGGCGCGTGTGTTTTTTTTTAACTATATACACACTAAACAGTCAAGCAAGATATTGTTTGATAAAGTTGTATAAAATAATACTAGTTTTGCAGACGATATAAATTTATCAAAAAATTGATATGACCTTAACACGCATGCTTTTATTATTTAGATCAATGGAGCTGCAATTTCGAAACTTATTTTAAGTATCTTCGTATTACGTTAGATCATTATCTGAGATATGATACCGAAGTTGGTTTATTTGAGAGACTTTCTGACATTCAATATTTGAAAATTCTGTACACGAAATGGCATAAAATAGAGGATTTGTAAAAAAAGTATTAATAATAAATTAATTTTTTGCAGAAACCATTTATTGAAACGATTTTTAGGAAAGGAAAAAGATTTTCACTTGAACTTTTTGTTCAAGGAAAGTAAGTAACCTACTTGATATTCCGCATCTTATCAGTGGACACCACCAATGTATAATTTAAATAAAACTATAAGCCCAGTCATACGACAGAAAACAAATGGGCAGGGATGTTATTATTTTCTTTTATTAACCTCATTTATGAAAATTAAGTTTTCGCCTTTTTCCAACCGCCCTGACTCCAATCATTCCGCACACCGTCGATTTATCCTAATTTTTCAGATTTTTGCCAGTTTTTTTAGCACCAAACAACACCACTTTCTAATATTATTCAGCATATTTCTAATGTTCAACAAGCTTTTCTAGAATTCTTCATTGACCTGGAAGATTACCTGACTTATCTTCATCATCAAGAAATCTAGATCTGTGTCGCAATATGCTTCTAACAATGTCAAAACCTTCTAGCATTAACTATTTTCCTTGTTGGTTTGTATACATGTACATTTTCTAATAAATATATTGATTTTTAATTATTCTTTATCCTAGTTAATAGCTCTGCTGCGAGTTGAAATATATCTTATATGCATAGCAAGTTTACTAAACAAAATAAATTATTATAATACAGAGTGGAACAACTCAAATATTGAAATTGTGCCAGTAACTTGACGCTTTATAACATTACTTCGAGTCTAACATTAGCTTAATTTAAGAGTTTGTTAAAGAGTTAAATATTAGTTTAATTTCATTATCCAAACTCAAATATTATTTATTTCAGCGGCAAACTGTAAATTGTTAACAGATTATCGATTGATTTTTTTGTTTCAAAGAGCATCGAATACTGCTTCAAATTGAAAGTGTTTCTAGAATTCGTATCCTGGGCATAGTGCGATTTTCTTCAATTCAATATAGGACAATCCTTTTTTTACAACACCTCAAAATTAGCCAGAAGCGGAATTTCAAAGTCACTGCGCGGTTTCGAATGCGACTTGGAATTATTAAAAACAAATAAACTTTCGGAATTCAGAAATGATATAATGTTTCAATAATATTAATATTATACATAAATGTGGAGACCACCTCCATAGAATAGTAAATTGATGAAGCTGCAAAAGAACCCTCCATGTTTAATCGGTGTATTAAATAAACAGAGATGGCGTATCCTGCGGCGACACGGGGAAATATGGAAACCTGCCTCCAGTAATGTAATTATTAGGGTAACCCTTCCCACCCTTCCCTGTTTTTTAATCGTGAAATTTTTAAACGGCGTCACGAATTTTTCCGTGGGTGGAATGTCTCCTAATATACAAAATCGATCTATCAAAATATTGTAATATGAAATCTCAAAATATATTAAATACTAAGCATTGCATGATCGGCTACGCAATTCAAATACGTTTATATATTTATAAAATGCTAAAAGTAAATATCCGATAGGAGTTCTTTAATATCGAGTCCAAATATTAGAACGTATATTTCGAGGTATCTCATTGAAGCAGATGGATAGCAGAAGATCTTTTGATCTTTTCCTGTGTCTGTTCCGATTTTTCTTGACAGTTAGCTTTCAAGTTTATTTAAATCTTTAGTTTTGCTTTTAATATTTTATTCAAAAATAAATGCGGTTACGGTATTATTTTTCATAATAGTCCATAAGTAGCTATTTGAACTAAATAATTTATTTTTAGAAATTAAATAACTAGTTTACTAGCCCCGTGCCTACCTAAATTTAATTGGAGTTCCTTTAGTATGTGCGAAGTTATATTTATTAAAACCTTTTAAACAAACGTAAAGAAGGCAATGTTTGATGCCTTTACTTGGTTGCCCAAACTGGATGGAATGTGAAATGTATAGAGAGAATGGAAAAAGATATTGATCTCTAATAATGGATGTAAAATTTTTTAAAAATATTTTAAATAAGACTAAAAAATTTTGGCTACGGTTTGCCAATAGGCTATTGTTTTCTATTAAGAAATGAGATTTGAGTCCGACACAAGGTGCTTACAGAATTATACACATTTGCTTAAACATAAAAATGTAAAATATCTGGAAGACGATTCATTCTTGATCTAAAGGTTAATGAAATGAACATTAATGAAAAGAGTAAATCATTCTTTTTATGGTGATCACATAAAAGAGAGATTTGATACAACGGCCTATTGGCCAACCGTAATTAAAATTTCAGAATATTTGAAAAAGTGATTTGAATATATAATAATTATTTTCATAATTAATGTTTTTTTTTAATAATTTTAATATGCTTTCATCTCGAAAATACGATAACCTCTCCATAGCATATACTGCATGAGATTCAGGACGTTATATTGTAAAAAAAGGTACTTGATATATTTTAAAAATAGAGCTCGTAGCTTCCTTTAGCCACGGCACAAGTACCTTTCATTTTCCATTGTTAATAACCGCACAACATGGAGGTGTCTCAGCAAGAGTAAAAGGAGGTGGGTTTTTTCAGTTTGTTTTTATTTTCTGTATTTATTTTAAGATGAATTTTAAAACAAATGTCACACTTGCATCGTTACTTTTTCCATTCGATCCAAATAAACCGCCATTTTGTCTCCTGTCTCATATATATGTTTTTCGAAACGAAATTATTTTAGTAAGTTTTTATATGGTACTGGTTTCTCTAGGAACGAAACTACGAATAATTTTTTGGCCCTTTTTCTGGTGTTTCTTTCATTGTTTGAGAAAACGTTATCTTATTAAAGGTTAATAATTAAAAATAAAAGAAGTAACGCAGGAACCCGCAATTGCTTTCAAAACGATATATTATTGTTTTAGATCGTGGGACTTTCGCGCCACGCCACTGAAACTAAAAGGGTATTATTTTATTCGTAGACGTGCACTAACGCTTCTGCCACACTTACAATATATTCCTTGGAATGCGTTTTATGCGCGAAGACATAGAAATACGATTGCATGTTCAATCTGGAGTGATATAAACCAGTCTGGATGAGAGGAGCCACCGTTCTAGCGTCGGATAAGATGTCTAGCAATTCGTCTCGGGCCAGGGTCGCTCTGTCTGGCTCGTGACCCGAATAGTCTCCGAATTCCTGTTCACTCTGAAACTAATTTGTCTGAATTAATTGATGTAAATAACGGGAATACTCTATCTCGCGACTGTTAACAAAGTCCATTTGTTACAAGACATGATAGCCAGGAAAAATAGGCAATTAACACGAAAAAACAAATGAAATGGGAGTCCGTGTATGCAATAAGTAAATGGTTTATATTATTATATTATTTGGGAATAACACAAAAGAAGGTAAGTCAAACGTTCTTGTTATATTGTTTACATATTATTGATGTGCTCGGACGGGGTTCAAACTACAAATGTAATTCGTTTTGTCAATCCAATTTAACAAAATGGTTGTCACTTTTTCTAGATGGTTAGGGCACCGTACCGTACTTGAATATTACCATACCATACGTTCTACAATATACCAAAAAGGTTAATATTCTCTAAAATGGATTTTTTCCTCCCTCTAAAATACCCAATAATATACTGATCAAGAGTATCCAAAGTATAACTTTAAGATGCTTTGGAAGCGATAACGATTTGTCATGTCACAGGTTACTTGGTATATGTACTTGTGCTATTTTAGAAAAATGTACCCAAACATTATGGTGTTAGACAAAGTAAAGTATGTAACAAGTTCACAAGTTCGTAAACTGTTTCAGACACTCGTTTAGTAATCACATCAAACTCGCGACTAAAATGGTCTAAATAAAAAAATCTGTTACATATCCCTTCTCACAAAACCAAAATCAGGTTTGCGAAACTTCTTAATCTTCTTCAGCCTTAGATCTTTGAGCCATGAATTCTGTCCTTTTTGCCACAGATATTTTACGATGAACTTTTCCCCGCGGGGCTATCCATGAAAGAGGTACTGCATTTTGTGGACCGAACAGGGCTCTTCTAGGAGAGGGAACGCGGAGTTGAGGGCATAATGGATCCAAAGGCCGTAATGCAACGCCCCAGGAAAAAATGGACTCTTTTCCTCCAAAAATCAGCTTCAGTATTTGTTACTTTTCACCTCGCGTGAAACTAAGTAATGCCAACTAATAAAAAAATGATTTCACACTAAATTGGTGTAGAAGAGCGCAACGTTGTTTCTTTTCTGTTGAATTTAGTATTATACTTTGATGGGCTAATTTTAAAATTTTAGTTGTCTGGCATCGAAAGCTTATTGCTAACTAAGAAAGGTTAGCCTTCATAATTAGGAGGAACATCTAGACTTCCTAGTCTACCTGAAAAGTCAGGCTCGGTAAGTCTCCATTTTCCTTTTCTTATTGGCAAAATTCGCATCCTGTGTTCTTTTCTGAATCTATTCATGGCATGGCCTCCATTCATAGCATATTAAGTCTGGAGCAAGTTCTTGGAGATCGTAAAAATAATAAACAGCAAGTCAATGTCAAGAATAGGCGTCTAAAGTTCAAGACATCAAAATTTCGAATGTGCTGTATAATTGAACTGAGGTGACTTTTACTCGATGAAAATCCATTTATCACAATGCCATTATCGTCCGACTTCTATATATATATCAACAGGTAGTAGTAGGTTTTCAAAGAAACTTCCACAGGTTCCTGTAACACCTTTTATAAAAAACTTCTGGATTCCTATGTGTCGGTTTTTGTTCAGTCGAACGTCTCGCCAATCACCTTGTTGACTTTTCCAGAGCTTGACTGAAACAGCTTTGGTTAGAAGCCAACAAGATGATTGGCGAAACGTTAGCTAGTTCGATTCAACAAAAGCCGGCGCAGGAGGAATCCAGTTTTATAAAAAGTAGGGAGTAATAGATTCGTAATTACCATTGAACGGTTATAAATTCAAATTTAACAACGGAGAAGCATTTAAATCCAATTGGTCATGAAGTGATAGATTCGAATATCTTATTTTATTAACCTCCATAGCTTTCAACAAATTTAGTTTTTTGCTTTTTTTTTCATTATATAAAATATCAAAATTATCGTCAAGCTTGTGTATTTTTGAATTTAAATGAATGACATGGTTAGAATCCGAAATTTTGTTTTTGTACGGTATTTTATGTTCATTAATGCGTTTCTTAAATGTAATTTTTTTTTAAAACAATAAAACTAAATCACGAAAAAAACTCATAAATCCACAAGTTGAAATATGGATCATGTCCCAAAATGCATATCAAACCAACAGCTAGAACGTATAGGAAACGCATTAACGATCATAAAAGAGCGTATAAAGGCACAGTGTTGCCGAAACAGCTCCCATAAAATAATAAATAACTGCGAAAATCTGAACATTTTTTTGTTTCTAATTAATATAATACTATTACAGCTTATCGGGGTCTCCTTTGGTCATAGTTACTAACCAAATATCTTCGTGTTGTGTGTGTGTGTGTGTGTGTGTGTAATCACCTTTGAATAAGAAATAGGTCGTTGAAAAAATTATTAAATGTATAATTTCACACCATCTTCTGTGCAATAAAGCGCAGCAAAGTAAAAAGCCATACAGCAAAAGATGCATTTTTCTTACGGATTTGAGCAAATTTGATCATATCAAGTGCATTCTATGAAAATGTCGCATCCTATTTTATATGTCTGTATTTTTTTAGATCGTCAAGATTTATTGTGCCCTACGTCAGCAAACAACAAAATTGTGATTCTTCCGACATTTCGCGCAATTTGTCTCTGAACCCGTTTTAAGTTATGTTGTCCTCGTAACCGAAAGCTATAAATCTCTGAAGTCCCACAATATAAAAATGCATTCAGCTCATGATCCCCTATCCGTATATTTCTGGTCTTTGTTTTGATAGTGGTAAATTTTGTCGTTCTCTTTTCGTGATATACTCTAATGGACAATTTTACATCGCACAAAACGTTCCGACAGAAGAATAAAAAACGTATTTTCTTTAAGGACTGCTTCAATTTTTGGCTCACGTAGCACATTGCTTCAAACATTCCGTAGAATATGGTGCAAAAGTAAATTACATTTAATACCTGCCTTTGCTTTTTTGGCTATTTACATCTCGCTTACCCTTACACGATGGCCCCAATATTTTCAAAAACATATCTCACAAACTATACGAGACAAAGCGAAAAGTTATGTATAAAATACATATTCCGATCATTTCTAAAAATATCTTGAAATTGTTCATATAAACAGACCTTTATTACTCCATTTTCGACAGGTGCTTTGTGGTAACGGACCTACCTAGTAAAACATTATTTTTATAACTATTAATTTATGAAGCTCAAAATTACTTAAAAATATTTATAAACCGAAGTTCGAAAATTTTACAATTTTATCTGATTTAGGCTGTAAATTCCTAAAATTTGCTGTTTCTGCAATATTGGATGGATTGGATTGAATCAAGGCCGATTACATTGAGTTCTACGCACTACTGTTTGAGCTAGGTGGAATTACTGCGAACGACGTTATCACACCACATGCAAACTGCGAAATAAAACACACCGATTTCGATAAATAATACTTACTCTTCGATGATCGTATTTGTATTTCGCCATCGCCTCCATAAAGCAAGTGTCAGGCTTCATTTCGCATCGGGTACGCATATACTTCTTCAGTTCATTGTCTCTCTCCCTTTCTAACATACCATGCGTAAGTGCTACGTCTCCTCCGAATGCCAAATGTTTGCTTTCCAGCTCCGTAACGCCGTACATCAGTTCGAATCTGTGGGGAATGAGAATATATTACGGGGTATCAATGCCACTGGGGTGAAATTTGCTTTCGTGAATTGCGGGCGGTACAAGGAACAAATAAAATAAATTCATGTTTAAGTTCCGCTTGGGTATTAAGATATTTTTATTTAGTGATAATCAAACAGGAATTAATAACTCCAAAGTTGAAGATATTGTGAAAATAAATTTACCTTGGGGACATTTACCTTTAAATGTATGTACGTATAAGTAATACTACTATTTCAGTTGTCACCTGTTCTTTGGCATTTATCTGCTGTTATAAGAAACTAAATTTGAGTTAAATTTAAAGTTCCAAATTTCCATAATAAGTTCAGGTTCGCGGTCATAACCAAAATTTAATAACGACGAATTTAGTTACACCGAAACTTACTTTTAAGCTTGGTTTTAAGTAAAAAAAAAAATAAATATTTTTTATAATTCTTTATAAAAATTCGCGGATTAACAGTTTTATGTTCATATTTATTTTATAGGCTTAGCAGCTGCATTACTTTTGGTTAGTACATTGTTCCCTCTTTTTGTTAATATGCATTTTTTATTATACGGGTATGTGTCCCTGTTAAAAATTTAAGAACAAACGTTTTTGTAAATATAATTATCACCTATTTATTTATTGTTTACCAGATATCCCTGGAGACTGTACCGTAATATGTCAATTCAGATAAAGCAATGATTACTGTAATACCTGAAGTTTCGTGATTTTTGAAAAATTTTCAATTTTTATAATTTGCAATTAGATGGTTTTTACAAATAAGGAATTTTGCTATCAGTTGGCCTTTTAGTCACTATAACGGCTTAATAGAAATGTTTTTATGTACTGTCAATTTAAAACACTCTGTGGGATAATTTCATGCCATTAGCAAGGCGTAATCATATCAGATTTTTGGATAAATATATTTATTGATTTTCATGCCAGATGTTTTTTGAAAAATAATGTTTTCTCCACAACAGGTCAACATAGATTTGCCAACGCCAAATATTACAAAAATAGAGGTCATGGACGGCCCTCAATTTTTAAAATTCTATTTATGATTCGTTTATCAACAGGCTAGGCCCAATTAAAATATGCATTTAAACGCAAATCCGCAGCAATTTACAAAAAATAACAATTAAGCGGTAACAAGGTTAAAGAGATAAAGAGAGAATAATTATAATAGTTTTTTTTTCAAAGAAATATTCACATCCATAGCTGTAATACTAACTTCTGAGTTATATAACGAGTGCAAAAAAATAGAAAACTACATTAGCAAAAGTATTTTTCTACTCCCCTCTGTAAAATACCTAATTACACACCGATCTAGAGTGCGGAAAGCGCCACTTTACCACGTCACTTTCGTTTCCCACTGATCCGACCACTTCGGATTTTTCCGGCATTTTACCGCACAGTTTTGGGAGCAATTGGATGTTTTCGGAGATCTTCCCCACACTTTGAATTTTGACGTTTGTCAATTGTGACGGTATTCGAAATTTACTGTCGCAGAAAGAGTATAGTATGCAACACGTTCGGTAAACTTTTTAAGCCACTCGTTTATTTATCTTTTATTAAACACTTACTCCACTCGTGTGAAATAAACTTGTGAATAAAATGGCCTTTACCGCACTTGTTGCATAACATACTATTTCTACATTAAATTATTGTATACTTGAGTCAAGAAAATATTGTACAGTGCAAAAAAGTCATCAATGTAATCTATCAGTTCAAGGAATGAATAATGAAATATATGAGTTGTTCTAGTTGCTTTGTCTGGCAGAGATATGAAGGTTATTTTTGAATATTATATTCCATCTCATGTCGATATGTAAGCATGGGGAAAACCAACCTAAGCGTGTTCGAACCTTTATCTTAAACAAATTCTCATTTAGTCAAATGCAATGCTTTTATTGTGACAGGAAAACCAACGAGAAGGGTAATTGCTGCCCGCTTAGCTTTAAAATTACTTTATGGTTTCGGTTGTCGTCTAGGTACAAAGTTAAACATTTCTACAATGTAGCCCGAGGGACGGAAAATTTAACGTTTAAAAACATAAATGTGAAACTGCGCTTTCAACGTATGTATTGCCTTATTAAACTCTTGCAACTCCACTGGAATGATATCCGTATGTAGTAAACTTAAATGCCTTGAAGCTCTCGCTTCTTTGTGCTTAAAAACTTAAATAATCTCATTGCGCGAGTTAAATCAGCGAATTTATGCAGTGCCGTAGGTTTGTTGCGATAACGTTGTGAGTATCCCGAGGGTATCTAAAGCTAGTGATTAGTTTCAATACTACAGCGTCGTACTGAACTGATTTCATTTTATGAAAACTATTTACCTTTTGAATATATCCACGTATTGCATCATCGACTTCCTGGGATCGTTGGGAACAAATAAGTTATCAACTACCGGACCGAACGTTGTTTTGTATGGTTCGGACGCAGGTATGGACTCCATGATTTCTTCAAGTCGTTTCCTTCTTAAACACGCGGCAAAATTGTCGTGTAGCTGACAATTCAGGTTCGCTGCTACTTGGATAGAGATATCGATCGGCTTGGAGACAAGCGCCCAATCGGAAAGCGCGGTACCGCTCATTAGAATTGCTCTGTGGAAAAGTTCTGAAAATGTGGGAAAAGTAGATTAATATATAGGAAATTCCTAGAATTGTCAAAACTTTTTTGCCAGTCACTTTGAGCATTTCCAGTACTTTATATGAGTCACATTTAATAAACCCCTTCAGACAGTCGTCTGTAGAAGTCACTTTCTGCCCGTGTTGATTGATATATGACTGCGAGATCAATCTTGATCTCTGTAATTTAACTAATTTTTTTTTAATTGAATTTTTTCATACAACTATTTTGAGGCGTTTTCTAAGCCTGTTCTTTGTAGATCTAAGTTCATTTTGATAATTTAACTTTACCAGTTTATTTACAGAAACACAAAACAATAGAACAAACCATTTTACTGATTTCTAAATGAAAAAAGCTGGCAACATTGAGACAGATTTTTCAGATTTAATATTGCCAATTATTTGGTCACATGAGAAAACTCATAACCTCATAATCATGAAGTCATGTTACTTTGTCACACTTATGTGCCACCCGATATATTTAAGGACAGAACAGGATGTTCTATGCAAATACGAGAGAAGAAAATGACTAAAGAGAAGGAAGAAAGTACAGAGTCATTGTTTTAAAGGGCTCACTAGAACCGAAAACTCAATGTTTCACTATTTTCGCATTTCAAGTGTAGTTTTGTGTGGCAACTAACCAAAACTTACAATCACAACGCAAAGTGCTCAAACTGGCGAGCCAAACAAATTTTGCAGGGTTTTGTTATAAAAAACAAACAAAATGGTGTCGACTGGTGTGCCATAATTTAAAGTATAGAATTTCACTATAAATATTTTAAAATATCAAATAGGCCATCTTCCATTTTGAATTAGAAATTTAAAATAATAACTTGCAAAAGAGGAGGCTCGCTCTTATCAAGTTATCAATATACTGAAAAGCTGAATCAAAGCGTTGAGCCCACATTTTATCGATCGATAATGTTGAATACCATCGGGATATCAATATTCATCAGTTTGCTACTTGACATATGCATCCTATATTCTTTTATATTACGGCGGGTTTAATCTAGAATTTCACAGGAGATCTGTGGTGGGTAATTTGATGCATTGCAGTTTGATATTTTGTGAATTTCGACAAAATAAAGTATATTTAGGACGCTATTGCCAACAGCGCCATCTAAGGAGGTATCATTCCACGGGAAATTTTCGCAGTCAGCCTGAATTACCGAAAAACATAATATTTCATTTTATACGTGAAAGTGGTGGCAATATTAAAATTCCATAACTCAGTTTAACTGCGAGTTTTCGCGTTAACTGTCACGCTTCGCCAAAGATTAAATATGGCGGCAAAGTGTCGTACAATATAGTCGAGCAATATCTTTTAAAATTATATAAAAGAAAGGTGTTTGGGTTAGAATTTTCGTTTCAATATAAGGGGAAATCAGTGTGGTAGGTCACGAGAAATTATTACACAAATTATATGCAAAGATGGACAGGAAGTTTGTAATGATTGAGTCAGGGCCGAAAAAGAGAGTTCAGTTGAAGTTTCAGATACTTTAATTACGTTCTTGCTAAAATAATAACATGCGTAATAAGTAAATTAGGTTCAAATAATAAACTCTGATTTGAAAAAATGTAGGGCTAGGACGTCAAGTAGTATGAAAAAAGTTCTAAGACATAATCACAGTAAACGACATTTTTAATTGAGTCCCACCCAAGGATGCCCTAGAATGGCATCTTTCGGAAGATTGCTAGAAAATTTTCTCGATAATTTAAAATTTGAAATTGTAATACCGAGTTTAAAAATGTGATGTTTTGTCTCCTAATAGTTGTGGAAATACTTAAAAAAATGGTTTAAACAGGGTGCGCTAATTTTAGTGCCGGGGAAAAATATGGTTTCCTGGAAGACGAAGTTTGTTTAGAAATGCCAACTGAGTAATGTTACAGCTCGAGTGAAGGCCGATACAGTTCCACGTATTTTCACTTGTCAATCAGTACAAGAGTAGAACAGTACATTATTTATTCCTGATCCAAAAGCGCAAAAAAAAATCTGCTGTCTGATTCTGAAGCCTTACCGAACTTTAAAATATCCTTGCAAATAGAACAGCAATCAGCACTCGACTTATCAGACAAATCCAATATAATGCAGTAGTAAAGAAATTCATCAAAAAGAAGAAAACAAAGTTTTTCAGGACCAACATTTTCAATGCAATGCAAAATTAAAAACATTTGGTGGTGTGGAAGAAGAGATAACAAAATATATACAACGTAAAGACAATCTCAGTCTTTCGTTTTACTAAGAAAAAGTATAAATGCAATATCCTAAAAACATATGTGTATTTTATCAACTTATGCCAGCAACACGTCTATAAGGTAAAGTATGGACCAAAACAAGTTCACACACGATATGCGGTTTCTTAAAGTTTTTTATAATATAATACGAATCCGATTCCACTTACTTTTATTATCCTTCATAGCTAATGGACTTATTGTAAACAGGCTTGCACATACTGCTCCCGTTCCATGACCGATTAGTGTCACGCTACCTGGATCGCCACCAAATGCTTCGATGTTGTCTTGTACCCAGACCAGCGCAGCAAGTAAATCCATCAGCCCGAAATTACTTTGCCTTGTTGTTTCTTCGGCTTCCAGTTTTAGAAATCCTGAAAATTATCATTACCACATAGCTGTAAATATTCATGTCTGAGGTGTCATAGTAAAAGTATAAAAAAATAAAAGGGAAAATATGAGTATTGTCAGATAAAATTGGGAATCTATAGAGCATATTAGAATAATCCCCATAAATTTCCAATAAAATAGGTTTTCCGTTATACATTTTTTAACCATTTATTTTTTATTAAAATCAAAATTAATTGGATTTTCTGATGACTAAAATATGACTATAATGTGCCTATAGGAAGCTCAGCTTAACATATACTTGTGTATAGAACGGGTGTCCTGAAATCAATAAGGTTACTATCTAATTCCATAAGAATTTGCTAAATAAATATTGGCGGCAATAACAATAAATTGTTTAAATCAACCTCTGCAAAATAAATTTAAACAAAATTTTACTACCACAATTATGAGATTAAAATATATTATTACCTATTAAATTTACTTCGTAGGGGAGTGAAAAAAAATCACAACGCATGTGCACTAATTGGAGCCGAAGATTTTGCACTCTAGCCGAACATCGCCAAATAGAACGAATACTATGCATGCGGATCTCGGACATTGGCGACGATTTTCGACGAAAACCCGATTAGATTTACGAAAATTCAAATTTTCCCGCCAAAAGTGGCTTAGAATCGTCACTAACTTCAATACTTACTATTTCCATAATTGAAGAGGTAAATAAAACGTTTTTAATCAGCCTCTTTTAATGCCATAGCGAAAAATATTGCGAGTATACAATAGAAATCTCTAGTGTAAAAAAGATACGAAAAGACAGATATGTGCTGTTGTCGCATTGTCAAATTTTTCGGCAGTGAGAAGTACTAGTTCAAGAAGGAAGTCACTGAATCTAGGAGATGTGTCCTTAAATATACTTTATATAACACGTTAAAATAAGTGCAACTATAGTAATGACATGTCATAATAGTGTCAATGACAACAAATGCAATAGCATCCTCCATTGTCGTTCGTATAAAATTGCTGTGTATATTTGTCACACCAAGACGAATAATATTTATAATAAATACACATAAAGAAAAAGTGTATTGCACCCTAAATCAAACCTCAAGTGTCCTTATTCCCGAATTTAATGGTACTGGTGATGTCGAAGGTTGGTTTACACTAATAAGAACCATTAAGGCCAGCTATAATGTATCCGAAAAAACTGTAAAATTGGCTTTGATTGGAAAGTTGTCGCCACAGAAATGGTTACATTCTTCCCAAGGACATGTCGCTTTAAGCTTGGACACGCTGGGGGAACAAAAATGAGTGAGAAATTGAGTTATTATGATGCAGACCTTGTATCTTATCTAATCGATGGCTTTGATGACACAAATCTTCAAAACACAGGCCAAAATGAAAGAGTTCTTCAGCCTCAACAAGATGCTCGAAATCATGAACGTAATTACTTTTGTTGAGAGAAAGTTTTATCCCAAAAAAGACATTAAGTGTATCTGCACTGTTTCGAAGCGGGCCATATAGTAGCCCAAACCTAAAAGAGAGCCGGATAGGTGTTTTGGATGCGGCAGAGGAGACCACCAATTCAAGGATTATTCAACTGAGCAACAACCAGGGCGATCAACAAAAGTGCCACAAGCTGATTCTACAACAATGTATGTGTGTGCTTACTCTGCCAAGGTCGAGCTGCGAAAATATCCTTTTCTTAATGTGGAAGTTGTTTTTGACACTGGAAGCCGTATTTCATTGATTTCATTGATTTCATTTCATTGATTTGCAAATGGCGAGTTCGTACTATATACGGAAGACTTTATGATTTTCACTGAAAGTTTAGATCAGCTAATTGAAATTTTGAAGAACGTATTTTCATCATTAGAAAAAAGAAGTAGAATATTTGGGTTACTTGGTTAATTATGATGGTATCACACTAAATCCGGACAATATTAAAGCTATCGAAGATTTTTCGATTCCGAAAAATAGCTGAGTCGAGGTCGATCAACCGTCAGGTTGGCCAAACTGTAGCAATGTAATTTTATTTTTCATACTCTGTGAATTTTGTCGGTAATACAAATCTCGGTAATGTGTCGGTCGTCGTTCGGCAGGCATGACTACCGTTGCATCAGAAAATAAAGTTTTAAAATTATGAAAAACCCGCTTTTATCGTAACCATCCTACTACGACAATACAGTATATTTTTGCATCCCCTCTCTTTGTTTCCAATAGATTCGGAATATCCGTGTCCCACTAGAGATTTAAATTAAATTAAATTAAAATTTTTCGTTATCTAAATCTCGAATAAACGCAGGTTCAGAACCGAACTTTGTGGCACACTAGTACCATGCAATATTAAAGTAAAAACTGTCAAACAAACTACAGGTTAAAGATTTTTTAACTATGACCGTCTGCTTTACGATCACGATATTTGCGTGTAGATTTTCGAGACACACGCATTCAACGGCCTTTGTTCACAGGGAGCACGGATTTTCTTCACTCAAAAGCCCCGACTATTACTCGCATCCCCTTACAGTACCTAACTGCATTGATTCAATTATGTTAAACCTAAATACTTTAGGTCCTTTTTAAGAACTATGACTATGGCGATAGTTTCCGATAAGAAAATGATCTCCGTTTTTATGTTTTTGTATCGTTATTAATATCGTCATAAAATCTCTCTTGCAAATTCATTCATTCATTCATTCATTGATTTGTCTTGAAAATTTTGAATTTCTATAAGATGATTGAGAAACTTTAATTTTTAAATTATTGCATTCTAAAATGTACGATTCGTATGCCCAGCGATTCCGAAAAGCATAAGAACCATTAGTCCAAAGTATATCCCGGAGTACACATTATATAAACATAACTCGATGCCATATATAAATTTCCCTCTGCGGAAATCAAGACGACGAAGGACGGGAAAGCGCATTTATGGTAACAAAGAAAATTCTCTTCGGAGTAAAAGATGAAATCTCCCGTCACATATATCAGCGCTATAATAACAACGACGATTTTTTCCCCGAATTTACTCTCGCAATGGTGACGAGAACCTTATTTTTCTGAATATTTCCCTGGTGAGTTTTTAAAGTACTGCCCATGCAATTTTCAGGTCGTTAATTTCGAGTTATTCCATGGAGAACCTTTATTGCATACGAGGTGTTGAAGAAATCAATCGTGGATTTTATGAGTAAGTATGTAATTTGTTTTTCTAATTTGTTCTAGAAATGTCGGGAAAATCAGACATATGACAAAATGAAAATGGTTATACAGAGAAGGCCTACTTGTGTTTAATCTAGGATTCGGAAGACAGAAAGCAACTCATAGGGATTATTAGCAGGGGAAATCCCAGAAGCGTCAAATGTAGAACATAAAAATAATAACTATTTTTAAGTTAAGAACATCTTAATATTTTATGGCTTCTTTAAAAGCAGTAACTATTTATTTTACAGTTTTATATCCCATCAGCTTAAATCGTGCCCTACACATTCAGATCATTTGTGATGTCATTAAAAAATATATTAAAATATAAAGGATCTAAGATTGAACCTATTGAAACTCATATATTTATATTAAAATACTCCGAAAGGCAGCAATAGCGCTCCACTTATTGAGTTCTTCTTGACAAACACGGAGCCGTAGGTCTTTTGTAGTTTACTCAGGAGAATACTATGATCCACATAGTTAGAGGCCTAAGAAAAATAAAGAATCCGTATAAATGATATCATCTTGAGAATGTGGAAAAAACAGAAATCATTAATAGTAGGCGGTAGGATTGTTATTTCTTTTTAAGTTGGGCACAAGAAATCTATTTTAGTTCCCGTCGATCTCCGATGTAATAGGAATGACGATTTTTCCTCTCGAGATAATATAATTTATTCGTTATCGTTTTCTTTAATCAATTTATTTAGATGGATATTTAGAAATAAAATAAAAAAGTTGCGAAAGTGGGTGCACTTACTAGTAGAAACTTAAAATAAATAACAGTAATTACAACGACGAATGTTAGATAAATAATTTATTCGCATATTTTTGTTACAGCAATCAAAATAAAAGAAATAAAACTGTTTTAAAGGAATATCCCGCTAGGGCAATTAAAAACGTGTAAAGAGACACTCGCACTAATATTTTTGATTTCAGGCAAATTTATTTAATAAGGGTTTTTCTTTTCGATGTATAGAACTTTAAGATGCAATAAAACAACGATGGATTATTCGATTCACATAAATTTTATTTATCCGAAAGATAATCTTGTGGCAAAATATGATTTCTGGCATATGACCGCCACGGCTGGCGCGGATGTAGTCCAATCTGGACGTCCAATTTTCGATGACTTTTTCCAACATTTGTATCTGTATATCGGCAATAACATGGCGAATGTTGTCTTCCAAATGGTCAAGCGTTTGTGGCTTATCCGCATAGACCAATGACTTTACATAGCCCCACAGAAAGTAGTCTAGCCGTGTTGAATCACAAGATCTTGGAGGCCAATTCACAGGTCCAAAACGTGAAATTAGGCGATCACCAAAAGTGTCTTTCAATAAATCGATTGTGGCACGAGCTGTGTGACATGTTGCGCAGTCTTGTTGAAACCACATCTCCTGGACATCATCGTTATTCAATTCAGGAATGAAAGAGTTAGCAATCATAGCTCTATATCGATCACCACTGACTGCAACATTCGGCCCATCATCGTTTTTGAAAAAGTACGGGCCAATGATTCCATCAGCCCATAAAGCCCACCAAACAGTCAGTTTTTCTGGATGTAACTGTGTTTCGACATACACTTGAGGATTAGCTTCGCTCCAAATGCGGCAGTTTTGTTTGTTGACGTAGCCATTCAACCAGAAGTGCGCTTCATCACTAAACAAAATCCGCTTATGAAAATCGGGGACAACGTCAACCTCGATTTTGGGCCGATTCGACGAATCTACGCCATACTTGATGATCGTTTGGCTTCAATTCTTGCACGAGTTGAATTTTGTAAGTGGATGGACACAGATCCAATTCCTGTGCTCGATGGCGGATGGACTCATTCGGGTCTTCCTCAATGTTACGCTCTACAGCATCTATAGCTTCTTCTGTACGCACCGTACGGCATCTCTGGGGATGCGAGTTATCAATAAGAGTAAACGTGGTGCGAAAACGTTCCATGGTTAATCGAATTAACTGCTCTCATGGACGATTTTGTCGACGATAAAATAGATGAAGTGCGCGATACGTATTCCGCACAGAACGATTATTTTCCAAATAAAATTGCACTATTTGCAAGCATTGTTCAGGCGTGACTCTATTCATGATGCATTGTCAAATCAAACTGTGAATAAATCACTTGGCAACTGTTAAATCGGTCGCCATCTTGAACAGTAATGCCAACTTAAAGTTCTATACATCGAAAAAAAAAACACCCATTATAACTTAGCTCAATAAATTCGAACGCAAAGAAGATATCTAACTCTGAATTGCACAATTATATATTATTATTTTATATAACAAAATTAGTATTCCACCTTATCCGAGTGCACTGACATTCGATCAAATACGGCACAAAATTTATAACGCCCCACCAAAAGTAATTATTTCTGATTTTGTAGCAAAAGTTCAAATAATTTCGTCAAAATATCCCGAAATACAGATGTAAATAGGAACAATTGCGCAGAAATAAAATCAACTCCTTTCTGTTTGTTCCTTTAGAGTATGACGGAATTAAATTTTAAATTTAGATGCAGTTATCCCGACTTGCTACGTCTCTTTAAAGATGCAGCTTTCTTAAAGGAAACGAAATTTTCAATATTAATTTAACGCTCAGTAGCGTTGCAAAGTCTCTTAGAAAAAACTAATTTAAATAAAAATTGTTAAAAATTTTGAATAGCGACTCAACTCGTTCCGCGAATCCTCGACGGTATTGAAATTTCACGCTGCCGCGCCCGAAACGCGAAAGGAAGAATTTATTTATGGATTCTGCAAAACGTAAATACATTGAAAAGTTACAAATCTTTGAAATTTTCGTCCGGGAATAAACTCTTTCATCAGAGTTTATTTCAGTGATTTTAAAATGTTTACCATACCCATATGTTAAAATTTGTTACAATTCAAGTTTTTATTCAAATAGTTTATTATTTCTGAAGTTATCGACTGCTAGACACTGCTCGCGGTCGAGCTCGCTTCCTAACCTTACAACAAAGCAAAATGTCAAAGCATCGGAGAACCCGCACTAATTAACTACTTACGTGCTATGTATTGTTATTAGTCATGCAAGTTTTGTCTTGTTTGCACAGTAGAGAAAAGTTCAATTATGTTAATTAATAAATTTATTTAAAATAACTAAAATTCCAACAGTTATTAATTTTCTAGACTCATAGCTTGCATTTGGAGCGCTGAAAGGTGGTTCCAAAATAAAAAAAAAGTTATCACTAACTAAACTAACTAATGAGTTTGTAGGCTACCTAAATAGTTAGAAAATATACACATAGTCTCTACAATATGGGATCGTCATCAATATAAAGTGTAGCATTTCATTTTAGTTTGTATTTACTACAACAAAGTCACAGCTTTATGCGAATTTAAACCTGTATTTAAAGGTTTCTCGTACTTTCTATCAGTCTCAAAACTTTTCCGAGTTCTTAGGGAATAATATGAGCAAAATGCTCCTTAGTTGTTTTTATAGTAATCTTTTGCATATACAGGGTGGCGCAATATGGTGCGGAAAAATCTTTTTTATTAACACAATTTTCTTTTTTTTTTAATATGATTGAAAAAACGTAATAGAAAACTTTAATTGATGGCAATAGGAGAAAGTTAATCGTAGGGTGTTTAAAAAATCAGATAAAATTCGTTGCCAACATTTAATAACTAGCTTTATCAAACTCAAAGTAATATACTTTGCTACCTTTTACATTACATTACCTTGCAAATGAAATTATTTTCTCGATATATTGGCATCGTGTCATAACAATTAACAGCAAAACAATATATTTTTAGTATTTAATGTATCAGGCTAATATCGGTTCCACTTGCTCTAAATCGATCAAAAACACTTTACAAAATCGCGGCATGCCCGAAGTCATCAGGAATTACCTGGCCTCTTCAAACAAATTAATCGAGAACAAACACCGATGGAGAGTCTCGTTAAAGCTCTGAGCTTGTTCGATGAGTTATTTATCTCGAATCAAATCCAGGTTCCTGAGACCAAATCCAAAGTGAAGTGGATTTTAGTTTGGTATAAAACGCTATCAACAAAAATTAACTCTAACCCTTTGGACCTTGCACTTTGGATTTTGTGGTTTACACTTTGCCTTCAAAATTCACATTGTTTATGTCTCCTTTTATGTATTTAAATTTAATTTTAAATTGAAACCTGTATGTGTCTGGATGGCAAATTTGACTGAACAATTTTTTTTTTAATTAAGCGTTACCAATTTTGGAGCCCCATGACGAAAATAAATTGCTTATTTAATTTTTCTGTGTTTAATCTTAAATTCCCAAATAAGCACAGAGTTGGCGTGCGGAAAGTGTCACTTTAAGAAGTCGTTTGTGAGTTCTAATGTCACTCAGTGAATGTATTCGTGCTTTTTTACAAAAATGCACTAAAAAACTAACGGTCCTAGAAAAAGTAGAGAATGCAATCCGGTTCTGAGCCATTTTTGATTTAAGTTTTGGCGAAAAAAATTTGAATTATCAAATTTTAGAGTATAAGATTGCAATTAGCGCCCTCGTCATATCCTCACCATGATTTTTTTGTAACTAGGTAAATCTGAAAGCTGTTGAGCGGTTGGTAGTGACTTTTAGTAATAGATGAACACTGTTCGAAGATAAAATCTACCTGGCGTGAATTGTATATGTGATAATCTGACTTTTTTAAATCGAGGTTGATTTGTTTGGATCATTGGAAGAACTTAAAGCGCTTCAGATCCTATATCGACGTTCTGTTCTTTATTTGGGAAGCCTTTGAACATGAAAGTGTTAGATTTCTTCTGTTAAATGAATTATAAAGAATCTTGATTTTTGACATGTTATTTTAAGTGTATTAACTCTTACCTACAGTGTGATGTCTTTTTAAGCCTGTGGGAGAATTAATTAATTAATTGTGAATTTTTGAACAAAGTTTTACAGAGCTAAAATACCACAGGCCAATATTGAAACAAATTTAAAAATCTAAAATAATATGTAAAAAAAATACAAACAATAATAAAGATCGCAGGTTTTGTATGTACACATCTGTTATTTTACTTTTTGTAACCTTCTGTTAAACCTAAACAATTTAATGAGGAATTCATTTTACATATATTTGGTGATATCTATGAAGATACATATTATCATAAATACAAAAAGTAAATAGCGTCATATTTTATAGAGGAATTTTAACCTTAAGTATTCGAATTACATAATTGTAAAGACAGATAGTATAATGTGGTTATAAAAACCATTTCTTTTTCTTGTGAGATCTCCTTTTTAATTCACTATAGTATAAATATTTTGCTTTTAAAAGAGAGAAATAAAAAAGTAAAATTTTTATGTTTTTATAACCTAGTTACAAAAATGATTTTTTTTTACTTTCTATATTTACGTTAAAAAAGTACGCAGCAAGTAAAATTATAAAAATATTTTTATCAAAATAAAAATGCCAAAGCTGCATATCAAGGACTCTTATGTAAATTTGAACTCCTTTATAACATACCTAGTATTCCCAACCTAAAGTTCAATGTCACAACAATTACATTCCCGAAGGCTGCCAAAACGCTTCCGTCGTATGGATTTCCCGAATTCCATTCGAAAGACTCTCCGTGGATGAAAACCATTACGGGATATTTTCGTGTTCTCGACTCCAGACCTGAAACAAAACGAAAGTGTAGACTTATAAATTTTATTGTCCAAAATGAAATTGTATGTATTTCAGATATAGGCAATATGAAAACGAAGGAAATCGTGTTATATAGTAAAACGGTAAATAAGGTTTCCATTACACATTTATAATGTCCATAATAATTTGATACCGCTCTTAGTACCCACACTAAACTAAATGACTGCCCAGATCCTGATATGATACAAAGTATTAGTAAATTTGACCAACAACGAACCAACTATGATATAATAGCAACTGAAACGTCTTCATAAATACAATTTTGCCTACTAATAAAATCTTAAAATATCATAACAGCAATCCATAATCCAAATTTTATCAAGTTTGCCCATCTCCTAAAGGGCATGTTAAATTTTCAAATGGATTATTTTTTTATTGACTTCAGAATAAACAAAATCTTCGTTTTCTATGCAGTAAATAGGCAAAAAAACCAATTAAGTCAGACATCAATCAACTCCATATAATCTACTGTAACCTAAATATATAAAATAAATTACAGTAAAGGAACAATTATATACCGCATCGTGGATTCAAAGGGAAAAAAAGAAAAAAACGTATCTCCACAACACTCACAAATTAAAGCATTCAGAAGCGAGTGTGAATGTAATTTTCATTGTTTGTAATCAGTGTTATGAATTGTGACTTTCCTTGAATGTAAATAGATTCACCTTATTGACTTTATGACTTTTTTAACCACTTTTATTTGATTTTGTATAACGTTTCGGAGTTCATTAACTTCCTACAAGATTCCGTTTCTTCGTAAGTTTTGTGGTGTTCCCTTCTGTAAAATACCGATATAGCGTGCGGAGAGTGTAATTTTACCACGTGAGTTTCATTTCCCATATATGTGAACTGAGACAGCTAATTTGTTTAGAGCTGAAGAAGATGAATGACCTTCCCTTAAACTAAAATATGACACAAAATGCTTTTAATATGATTCTTCCACAGTGGAACCAAAGAAATTCTTGCAAAAAAACTTACCTTAACCAAAAACAGACAATTATTAATTTCCTTAATTATTTATTAGTGACCAACTTCAAGCATGCACTCTAATAGATATGTTGAATTTCTTTGGACGTGCCCTTAAATATCGAACAATTTTTTAGGTGCTCAAAATTAATAAATCCACGAAATAGTCCGGGATTTTCAGAAGTTTCGCTCTTATCACGGCTCCGAAGAGCCTTTTCACAATCTCCACAGGAATTACTGTAATTACTAATTTTTCATAAAATATTCTTCTTTGAAACATTTTCATTGTGTATATTATGTATATTTACCCAATAAGCACAATCTAATTGGGCCCGAAAATTGGTCGACCCTAATAACGCAAATTCTGTACAATTATGAATGTGGCTGTTATAATTTTCATGTAATCTGATCAAACCAAAGTAAAAATCTTTCACATCAGTTAAGCCGAATTCTTAACAATTCAAGGCTCTGATGATGTAGAAACCCTCCTACTGAACTGGTCTAACTGGAAGAATATCAAATAGATGCGTTGTAAATCGAATGCAAATTTTGTATTTGCCTTTTACCTCTCCCACAAAAACATTTCAGTTTTCTAAGTCAAAGAGTCTCTGAGCTCTCAAATTTAAATTAACGAGACATGAATAATTGGGATATTTAAATGAACACCATTCACCCAAGTTCAGGACCATGGAAAGGTATTTAAAATACGATTAGGAACATGAATAATCGATATCTGGAAGCTTGCCGTTCATAAAAGACAAGTTGAGGTATATATTTCGCGTTCAGGTAAAACTCGGAATGGAAAAAATGTGAAATTGCAAAATACGGTTCATGAAATCGGTCAATAAAAATATGTGTTTTATATAGGAGATAGTCAGTCTCTCGTGAATGCCAGAGATGCTTTAAATTTTGTATATAAATATGTATATGCAGATTTTTAGAGAAATAAATTTATATCAGAAACACACAGAAGTTACAAACATATCTTTTTTTCCTATTATAATTGTAAAACACAAAACAAAATATTTCTACATTGCATGCTCCTAGCGTCTTCTAATAACAGATCTCTTTTCACGTAACAGTATATTATGCAACAAGTGCGGTAAATGGCATGGCGAGTAACAGAGTAAAAGTTTATTAAACGTGTTGTATACTATGCTTTTTTTACGACCTATAGTTTTTGCGTACATTCTTGCAACAACTCGAATACATTCACTGACATGACCGTGAAAATTCAAGCCGTGTGATAAAATATCCGAAAACATCCGATTGCTCCCAAACCGGTGGGGTAATATCCCGGAAATGTTCGAATTGGCTCGGAACCGTGGGACAAGAAACTCACGTGGTAAAGTGACGCTTTCCGCACGCTAAATCGGTCTATAATTTGGAATTTTACAGAAGGGAGTAGAAAAGAACGATTTTTTTGCCAAACATTTAAGGCAGAGTCCTACAAAAAGTCGTGACCACGTAATAGTCACTCCGGATATAATGAAATAAAAGCGAACAACTGAGACATGCAACGTTTATGTTGTTGCGTTGCATTTTCCAAAGATGTCAAGTGAGAAGTGGGCTTTACATATACTGGAGAAATCATCCTGCGAAATATCGGCTACGTATTGAATAACATTGTTTTGCGCGAGATCATTTGGTCATCCATAAAACTCTGAATATATTTTTAATATACTATAAATCTTACTTTATTAACGTAATAAGGAAATCTAGATTTTCATGGTGATTTAAACATAAATATGGAAATTTCCTAAATTAAATAATACAAGTTATTGTCACTTTGAATAGCTTTTGCTCTATCGCTTCTGTTATATTAATATCTGCCCTGTATAGTTTGGCATTTCTATATAATAATATCAGAATAATGTCTATATTTACTATTTTCATTATACACTTGCGTGTATTGTAACCTTTGAAATTAATCAAAAAAAGAAATATGCTGTTTCAAAGAGAATTTAATATGCTTTAATACGAGTTGAAATTATTTTTTTTATTACCAAAATAAATATGCTTATTGCCAATTAACAACTTAACAATTTTTTAAATAATGTGTATCACCTCTTCTTGTTGAATGTTAAACCACGCTTCTTCTACTGCAACAATTTGCTCTGGGATCGAGGTTAGAGTACGAATCTAAACTCAAATTCTTTGTTTTAGCTCTTCCCATAAATGTTAGATCGGAATGAGGTCGGGATTACGGGCCACTCATAGCTCGAACATTATTTCCGAATATAGTCGACATAAGGAACCACATGAGCTATTAAAATATCCTTGATATACCTAGCACCTGTTAAACCTCCTCTGGCTTGACCATGATGGCCCCAACCGATGAAAACGGGGTCGGTTCGTGAGTCCATAGAAATTGCACTCCAGATCATGCAGAAACTACCTCCATAAGCAGCCCTTTCTTCTATGCTGCGTTCTGCAAATCACTCTCCTGGTCTTCGATATTCTTTTCTTCGTCGGTTGTTACCGCAGAGGCATATTCTGGTCTCAACCGAAAACCGAACAGACACTCTTGTTCCAATATCAAATTCTGATGATCTCGTGCAAAGCGAAGCGCGCTCGTCAATGGAGTAAGTTATGAACCAATTGCAGGTTTTTTTTTGGGGTTAAGTTATTTTCATGTACCCTTCTTCTCACTGTCCACTGACTAATAGCCACACTTCATACTTCACGAAGCTGTTGTTGCACCTGAATCGTATTGAATAAAATAAAAAGGTCATCACGAGCGGTGGTAAATTGTCTTCTGCCTTTTTCAGGCCGCTATCTCCAGTTGGTAGACTCTTCGAACTGCTGCGCGTATCACATCCAGTTTGCGAGCTACAGCTCGCTGGCAAAGTCCATTTTCGATTAACGCAATAATTTGAGACGTTTTTTAAATACTAAGAAAATTATTAAAAACGAATTCTGTGAAAATTCCAGCGGAAAAGCAATTACTTTAAGTCTTTGACAAGATTGTTGCTCTAGTTTTAACTACAACATAAGCACATTTTATTTGTTTACTCGTTGCCACTCATATAAAAGATCGTCTCTCTCGTCAAATTTAAGTCCATATTAAAGCATATTAAATTGTATTTTAAACGGCATGTCTCTTTTTTTTATCAACGGAATAGTTTGTTTTTCATTTATAGTTAAAGTCGAAAATTTACAAATTAAGCAAATTTCCTAAGTGGAGTTATAAATTAAAGGAATATTAAAAACATAATTAAATATTGTATGTGGAATTTTTCTCTAATAATTTTTTAAATATCTTTTATGAATGTAATGCACAAAACTCTAAGAGATTAATTGGGAAAGTGTTGTGCAATGCTTCAAAATACATAAGCAACGTATGTCAATATAATTTAAAAATAACGAACCAGTAACACGTCATCCACTTTTAACCACCCTGTATAGTTATTTATAAATCTGGTTGGGGCGCGTTTAACATCATACTCCAAATTGTTTGATTTTATTGTCCTTCATATATACTGCATGTTTACTCCGCAGCACATACGTGCAGTTCCCTCTTGTTTTAATTTTCGCAAATACACATACCTTACCCCTTTCTAGATGTTGAGATCTGCCTGCGTCAGGAGTTGTGATTTTCCTCCACCCGACAGAAGATGGCGCCCACAAGGCGGGGACTGAGTGTCCTTATCGACTAAACTGCTCCTTTTTTTTTTCATTACTTGCCCTTTTATTTCTGTTTTCAGTTTTTGTGACTGAGCTTTTCCGTTTGTGATTTGCATTTTCGCATTTTATTCGAATAATGAGGCAAAGAATCACAATGTGCTCTGAGGAAAATGGAATTTTACTTTTCAGTTTTATTCTTTGAAGAACAAATAAAATTGATATACGCGAGAGAGTTCCGTAACGAAATGTTTGGGGATTTAAATGGGGGGTTGACTATTTTGTTTTTTTTTCTCATAGACAAAAAAGAAGAAAATGTCTTGTTGTTCCAAAAAAGTTAACATTATTTTGATAGCTCTCCACCGTAAACTGGTTTG